GCCTTGTCTAATTCCAGTCCTGAGATAGCTACCCAAGATTGTTGTAACCTCCAGTGATCAAGTTCTTTGGATAAGCAAAGAGGGAGGACATTAAGTGTATGGAAAAGACCCCTCCTCTCCACGGTGCAAGGCAAGTTCTTTTCCTTAATTGTCTCGACTCTTCTACGTTGTTTCTAGAAGCTTTTTTCTTTTTTTTCTTTTTCTTTTTTCTTTTTTTTTTTTTAGAGACAGAGTCTCACTGTGTCGCCCAGCTTTGAACCCCTAGACCCAAGCAATCCTCTGCCTCAAACTCTTGAGTAGCTGGGACTACAGCACATACCACCACACCCTAATGAAAAAAAAAAAAATTGTAGAGATAGGAGTCTTTTGCTGTATTGCCCAGGCTGCTCTCAAACTCCTGGCCTCAAGTGACCTTGTAGACTCCGCCTCCCAAAGTGCTTGGATTATAGGCATGAGCCACTGCAACTGGCTTATTTCTAGGGACATTGAATGGAGCCTGCACACCAGGGACAGATGAATGGAGGCTGAGCCAGCCAGGCAGGTGAAAACTGAATGCTTTTCAACTCTGAAATGTTCCACTGGACTGTGTTGATGGAGCTCCTTTCAAACTGGGGCCTGCCCTTGCCTGCCAGTCAAACAGAACTGCCCACAGCCTAGCAAATGGCTGTCATACGTCAATAGCCCATTCATTGGAAATCTAATGATTGGCAACTGGGACCACAGGTGCAGAGAAAGCAGTAGAACTCAAGCTGTGGTTGAGTTCTTATTCTGTCTATCCTTTTGAGTGATGAAAAATGAGGCCAAATCTAGGCAATTGTTTTCTTTACATTGAAAGCTTAGCCTCTTGATCCTGTTGGGGCTGGAGGGAGAGTGGAGTTAGGCTTGGAGAAGTGGTTAGTGTACACTTTGCTCCTGATAGCTGTTTCTGAACATTCTGTAGTTATAGTTCTACAGGAGTAGGCTCCTAGTTGTTTGGTATCTGGCCCTGTGGGATTTTAGGGGGTGGGGGAATATGGGCTTGGTATTTGAGAGCTGGATAAAGGAGGTGGGCGGGGCAGTTGGGCTCTAGATTTGTTGGTTTGCATATTAAAGGCATGCTCACAAGCCAGTTGTTTGCTCTCTCTAGGAATTAGCTAACCCTCAGACAGGCAGTCTCTCTCCAAGTCCACGAGGTCCCAAAAAGTCAAAGCATCATACAATATAGAAAATAACAAGCATGATTAATACTACAGGCTGAGAGGATATGTGTTCCTGCACTGTCAGACCGAGCGCTAGAATTATTGGAGACACATTGCAGCTTCTGTGCCTTATCTCAATGTTACGCTGTTCAGGACTCAGGATCCTGCCCTCTGAGGGTTTAGAGAAGTCATTCGCACTGTCTCACCCTGGCTCTCTTCATCCAGAGCAGTTCTTTACTTTCTCAGGAAACAAACGGGATGAAAGTCCAGAGCTGGGACTTCCTCCTTGGTGTGTTTGACAAGGACTGACGTACTCTAGGCCCTTTGAATCCCGGAAGTCCAGTACACACCCAACCTTGATTACAGTGTCTAGAATGCTGGAGCGTAGGTGAAAGGACAAAAGCCAGACACATTTCGACATGAGGGATCCACTGACAGATTGTCCGGTGAGTAGCTCGGTGTGGGTTGTGTGCCTGCGTGTGAGGAGGGTGGAGGGTGGGTTTATATATTAATGGATTTTAACTTAAGAAATTTGAGACACTCAGAAACCAAACACATTTAGATATTGGCTGTGGTACAAAAGTTTGTGGTTTTTCTTTGTTTCAGTTTAAAAACAGAGCTTTTTCTAGGAAATGACAGGGCAGGTAATTGTCATCTTTCCTTCTCATATTCTTGGAAAAAGTTCTGAGTGAGTAAAGCATCATATTTGGATCCAGATGGTGGCTGTTTGGAAAACATTCTTAAGGCATACACCCATGGTGCCAACATCGCGTGTGGAGTGGATACAAAAACACACAGAATGTCTGCAGCCAATTTTTGGCTCTGAGAATAAAGTGAGGGAGGAGAGTTTTTGTGCTTTTTTGCCCTCATTTGTTGAGTCAAGGATCACAAGTCCTGCAGGAGGAAGGATAGACTCTCCGCTCTGCCTGGCCTGCAGTAGTTCTCAGACTGGTTTAGCAGCATGTTTGTTCCATGTTTGCTTGTTTTGGTAATATTCGGAGCACTACCAAAAATATAAGTTTGGTCAGAAGTCCAAAGACATTGTGAGGTCACTGGTGGCAATAGCAGAGACGTAATTTACGAAATAAGAAGCAACTAAAATAAAAGGGGATATGTTTACTTTGAAAATAAAGTAATTAAGGAGGGTCAGTGTTTTATCCCAACACATAGGGCTGAAAAGCTAAGATTGGTGACGTCATAAGCAAGAGGTTTCAGTCATCCTTCAGGTATTAGTAACACAAACTGTGGAGCAGCAGATAAATGGGCGCTGAGATAGAGCCATGAAGAAGAAGACCAGCAGAGGATTATTGATTTCCTTTTTGTTTATTCAGTGGATAAGAAAAGCACATGGTTGGAAAAGATGGAACTATGGCTACTATTGCAGAAAATCAGATGAGCTAAATGAGATGAACTCATAAATGACTAGTAATTTTACTAATGACAAGATAGTAGCCAATTCTGCCTAATTTTACTGTCTTTAAACACAAAAATAATTTGTGCTTAATGTAGAAACAAATTCCAATGATATTGTTATATATAGATTTTTAAGAGTGAAACTTCCACCTTTGATTACTTCAATCTCAGTCTTCTCTCCATTGGTAATTAGGAATAATTTTTAAGTAGTCTTTTATCATTTATTTATCTCTCCTTGAGGTTGCTCCCTTACTAAACTGTAAAATCCTCCCCTGTCTCAACACTCCTACTCGATGATTTTGTATCAGGGTGGCAGGCCAGGACAGGCATGGGATAAGTGGCAGCAAAATCTTGGCACTAATAGTAACCAAAGAAGACAATTAACACCAGGGGATGAGTTCAATGGACAGAAGAGAGGGAAATGGAGGCCAGATGTAATTAAGTTTAAAACGAGAAGAATAAATAAATACATAAAAAGGAAACTGAAGGCCTAGCATTGTTTTTGCAGGCAGCAAAGTCAGTCTTCAGATGTGGAGAAATGTTTTCTTTCAGCAGCCCCCAAGGCAACCCATAACCATACTTCTGTGTCCGCTTAAAGCTCCACTCCCTGACATGCTGAATAGTTCCTTGTGCTCTGCTGGGCCAAGGACTCCTGTCCTTGTCTAAAACTCTGAAGGTCATCTGTATGGGCTCATTGCCACCAAAAGTATCCGGGAGTCATGGGGAGGCGGATATCCCTTCAGCCTGGGTTTCCATACCCTCTAAAGTCACAGAACATTTATTTATTTGCAATTGTTTCATCTTAATCAAGTGTTCAAGTTGATTTCCTGGTACATTCTTAGCTTGTACTTGGGAAACAATGCTATGTGAAGATGAATCTACAGTTTGGGAACAAAATAAGACAAGGAAATGGATTGCAAATGAGTGCCTCATGAAACACTTAGGTAGTTTTATAAAATAACCCAAAGCTTTAAGCACCTGCAAAATGTCCCTTTCCATGAGTCCCTAGAGTTGCACAGAGCACAATTCATAAAGTCTTAGCTACAGTTCTTAACCGGGGCCATACCAATATGCCCACGTATGGAACTCAGTGGGTTGCATGAACTTCAGTGAAAACAAATCTCTATTTGTACTGATTTCTAATTGAGATTTAGAATTTTATTCAATCCAGAATATAGGCAATAAGCCCCAATACTGCTAGTAATATCTGTGTAGTGTCTGTGACTTTGTAACCAATAAAAATCAGAAATTTTATAACAACATGACAGTTGTTGCACGTATCTAGAAATATTTACATTCAACCTGACTTCAAAATGTTGGTAATACTTAAGATATGTAATTTAGCATGTTAATTAAAAAGCATATAATATCATAATTTTAAAAATACACTCTAAAAATATATAATTCATTTCCTTTGTAACCCTACGCTACTTAAAAATGTTATTCTGAATCAAATAGGTTTCATGAGACTACAAAAAGGGCTCATGGTACGAAAAAATTTAAAAATCTCTTTTAGATCAAGTTTTAATGGGCAAAATAGGCTGATAGCTGGGCCCGTCAACCTCAAAGAGCCAGGTCAGTGTTTGAGTTCAAATTATTGTCACCAGGTTGGCATAAGATTGCCTAAATGCTGTGTAGGACTAATCTTGAGAGTGTCAGAACTTATTTGAAGAAGATATCTTTAAGATATCTTTAAAGTTCTGTTTTTGACAAGGAGAAGAATTGGCTCTGGGCCTTGATGCCCCATTGCCTGTGAAGGTTTAGGTTTAGCTCTTAAACCTAGAAATATGTCTAGGGAACTCATCTTCAAATCCATGTGCAAGAAAGGTGAGGAAGTAGGATCCAATTATCTCCAAAGGAAATAATTCGATCACAAGAAAGTATTAATAGCACCTTCCTATCAAACAATCACATAGAAATCAAGGACAAGTAACAAGCTGTAGCCAAATTTTTACTTTTTTTTTTTTTTTTTTTTTTTTTTGAGACGGAGTCTCGCTCTGTCGCCCAGGCTGGAGTGCTGTGGCCAGATCTCAGCTCACTACAAGCTCCGCCTCCCGGGTTTATGCCATTCTCCTGCCTCAGCCTCCCCAGTAGCTGGGACTGCAGGCGCCCGCCACCTTGCCCGGCTAATTTTTTGTATTTTTAGTAGAGACAGGGTTTCACCGTGTTAACCAGGATGGTCTCGATCTCCTGACCTCGTGATCCACCCGTCTCGGCCTCTGAAAGTGCTGGGATTACAGGCTTGAGCAAATTTTTACTTTTTACACACTCATTCAGTATCCAGGAAGGGGTCTGTCAAAGCAAGTCTTCTGGGCTCCACACAGTCAGCCACTCCCCTCATGTCATCCTCCATTGAAATGGCACCAGGTTGCTCTTCAGGTTGGTAACCTGGCTCAGATGTCAACCTGAGCTTCCCATCTTGGTGGCTTAGCCTGGACACCAGACAATGACTGTCACTAACTCAGATGGTGCCAGTGCCATGGTCCATAGCACCTGGGAGAATCTGACTCACTGCAAAAATACAGAAGGAGGCTGCATCTGGCATGGGCGTCATGTGGCCCACAGCCTCTCCAGTGTGCATCAATGAGATGTGTAACATGCCGTTCTTGGACCTCTGTTTCCTCATGTGTAAAGTAAAAGAAGGAGAGGATGGAGTAGACTATGCTTTTTAATGTTCCATATCCCATAATCTGCGGCAGTCTGCCACAGGGATCCCAAATACTACGCAGCTGGTGAACACGTACATGGATTCCCTTCATAGAGGGGCAGTGCTTTGAAACATCGCCCCCAGTGAATCAGAACTCACATGATATCAGTAGCACAGAGCCTGGAATCCAGTGTTAAATTTAAGTGGAATATCATGGTTTCTTTAACACTGTGAGGATCATCATTATTAAAAAAAAATTATTCCATACTAGCATCAATACAAATAAATTTTTCTATAATTCTTTCTAGAACTAAATTTAACCCTCTTAGTCATTCAACCAGAAAGAGCAGGTAGGCCAAGCTTGATGTAGGCACTTTATAATCTTTACAAGTCATCTGTCTAACCATTTCATGTGCTGATCGGCTGGATTACTGAATGTTTTCTTTTTTTTTTTTTTTTTTTTGAGATGGAGTCTGGCTCTGTTGCCCAGGCTGGAGTGCAGTGGCCAGATCTCAGCTCACTGCAAGCCCCGCCTCCCGGGTTCACGCCATTCTCCTGCCTCAGCCTCCCGAGTAGCTGGGAGTACAGGCGCCCGCCACCTCGCCCGGCTAATTTTTTTTGTATTTTAGTAGAGACGGGGTTTCACCGTGTTAGCCAGGATGGTCTCGTTCTCCTGACCTCGTGATCCACCCGTCTCGGCCTCCCAAAGTACTGGGATTACAGGCTTGAGCCACCGCGCCCGGCCTGAATGTTTTCTGTAATGGCTATATTTATCAACAGAATTTGCTTACAAATTCTGGGAAGAAACATTTTCCTAATGGCTGAATGGGAAATGTCTGTGTAGACCAGTTGTCTATTTGTGAAGGGGTTATTAATTTTTTAGGGGCTTAGGAAGATCCCAGATATTCCACTACCAGACTGAAATCCCTTTATCCGGGGAGAAAAGCCTTGTAATGTTTTTTGTTTTTCCTAATAATTAATGATCCCCAGGAGAAGCAGCATATTAATATGAATTCATATGGAGATGTAGAATCAATAGTAGATTATTCTCTGAAATGAATATTTGGTAGGGGGTTAGGATATTTAAAAGCTCAATGGGTAGGAAAAGAACACCAAAATTGCCTTCCACCTCCCTGCGACCACAGCAAGCCCTTCTTCTGCTGGTTGATGACATTAAGAAGCCAGCTGTATTGCACATGACACTTAAAGGTTACTATAACTTGGAGTAAACTTAGTGTGATTAAAAAGATCAGCCATTTATAAATGTATTTGATTCTAATAGATTCTCTAATTGATTTTCATACCTAATATTTCTAATCACAACTCTGTCTCTAACTAATTAGATTATCATTATCTCTTTGGGCCTTAACTGTAAATAAAGGAATTAGACTTCAGTGGCTTCCAAACTGTGCTCCATGGAACCCTTTCAGAGTCCTCTCTAGTGGGTGGGAGTGTGGTGAGGTAGGAGTAAGACAACCAAAACTAAAGTCAAGTGATTTCACCCCCACAAAGCAGGTATGTTCCAAGATTTTCTGAACACACACACACACACACACACACACACACACACACACAGAGAGAGAGAGAGAGAGAGAGAATTATATGGTCTCTGGAGGTCTGCTTTGGCATTTAAGTGGATCTGCTTTTCACAGTTTTTATCTCCAAGTCTGAGTAGATGGTACATGATGAAAAGTACAGAATCATTGATTCTAAATAAGGATTTATGCTGGGATAATGAAAATATTCTTAGCAACTCTTTTATTTATTGATGTCACCTTTATCTCAATCTGGATCAGGGTTTGTTGGGGAATTTCTGGTGCATAGTATATAGGATCAGAGGTAAAGATTCTCTCCATTGCTCTCATAACCTCATCTCTTATCTGATCACTAAATTAACAATTATGAAGACCTTCTCAACTTGCATGTGCCTGGGCATACTGGAGTTTGACGTCTGAGGATGGTTACAGGTGTACCTGAGACACAAGTCCTCTGCACCCTTGAATTGACAGAGTATGGCTGGGAGCAAGGTAGGAGGCAAAGCCATGGGCCAGTTCCCTCTTCCTGGAACAACTGTGTCTATTTACCACACTCTTCCAGTACAAATATTTTCTACGTGTGCCATTTTGGGGAAAAAGTTAGAAAGTATACTAGTCTACGAAATGACGGAAAATCATCTTCCAAATTCTAGAGCTGGCAGCCCTAGGGTCAATGGAAGCCATAGACTGTGCTTTGTTCCAGCAGCCCCTTACTTTAAGAGGTTGAATGTGAATGCCTTTGCCACAGGCTTCACCACTGCCACCAAAGACCATTGAGTTTTCAATCACTGGCTTATAAACTTTCAGCATGGCCTAGCCTCCTAAAACTAGTTCCCTTGAGACAGTATTTAAAAATGTGTCTTAGGGAGTTTTGATGGCTTGATCAGTTTAGGAAATGCAGCAGCCCCTGTAACACAAGCACATAGAAAAATTCTCAACTGGTTCTACTCATTTTTACATTGGTTATGGGCAGAGTTTTCTCTACATGCCCCATCCCACACTTGATGTCCAGGGTCCCTTAATTCTCTCCCATAGGTAACTTCTATGTGCAGACTATCCTCTGGTGATGGTGGACTGGTAAGGGCCTTTCCCGTAGGACATTTCATCTTGAAGTCTTTTCCTTCCACTCCTGCTTCCCCTAATGGAAGGTTCTTTTTCTCCTTCCTACTCTAAATCCCTCGAATACATCTCTCTGCTTTCTTTTCTCCCATCCTCAGCCCCAGCTTTATAGTGTTTGAGAGTAGAAGATTTACTTCGTAAGCATATGCATCCAGGTCTTTCTCTCTTGCACACAGCCCCATGGCTTTTTGTTGAGTCTGTTTCTGCTTTGCTGTGGGCTGGAGAGAGAAGTCAGTAAGACAATACATAAAAATCCACAGCTTAATACTGTGAGATAGTTCTAAATAAATCAAATAAGAAAGCCACAGGACCTATAAAGAAAATAATAAAATTTTATTGAACATAAAATAAAAATTGAACAAATGCAAAAACTTACTATGTCCTTGGATAGAAAGTCTAAACACCGTTAAAAAGTCAGTTTTCCCAAATTGATGTATGTATGTAATACAATTCCAATCAGGATCCCAACGGGGATTTAAAAAGATATGTAATTAGACAAATGTTCATATGTTACAATAAATGCCTCAGAATAGCCAAATAAATTATGAAAAGAAAAAAAAAGTTGTTTAAAGAGAGAGAAGAAGCAAAGTGTTACTATCTCTATAACTTAGGTAGTGAGTATCTAATGTGCATTATTATTATTTTCTGTATCATTATGTTATAAAACATAAAAACATTTCATAATTCAAAGGTAAAAGACCCTGTATGAGTTAGAACTATGTTCAGCTGCATATTAGAAAAACCCCAAATACATACGTCTTTAAAAAAACATTATATTTTTCTCACACATAAAATAAGTCCAAAAGTAGAGAGTTGAGGGCTCCTGTGGTGTCCTTTACAGCCATCAGGAACCCAGGCTCTTTTTCTCTTTCCACTCTATGTTCTTAATGCATTATGTCCAATCTCAATACCACTTTATGGCTTTGGCCTGCATTTTCAAGTCCAGAAGGAAGACAAGAGTGCAAACAAGCCTTTACTGAAACCTCATACAAAACCTTCCCTCACATCTCCTTGGATAGCTTTTAGTCACATGGTTAACACCTAAGGTTGAGGGAGGCTGAGAAATGACCTTATTCCAGGAGCATGTACCCTGCTAAACATTTATGCATTTTCTTCTCATGACACTGAGGTGTGTTTCATGGGATGCTATTAGGTGTTGCAGAAGAAGACAAAAGGCTTAGGGAGAAATCTAGTGAACATGTTTAGGTAACATAGGAGTAAACAAAGAGGCTAAACAAAGTTCTTTACTGCAGGTCTTCTCACAATTTCAAAATACTCCCCTAAACTTCCCCAGTGTGCCTGTAAGGGGAGGAAGGAGGCCTTAATAGTATCATACCTTTCATATATGGCAAGTTAGTTTTATTGGAAATAAAAATTAGAGGCCGGGCGCGGTGGCTCAAGCCTGTAATCCCAGCACTTTGGGAGGCCGAGACAGGCGGATCACGAGGTCAGGAGATCGAGACCATCCTGGCTAACACGGTGAAACCCCGTCTCTACTAAAAAATACAAAAAACTAGCCGGGCGAGGTGGCGGGCGCCTGTAGTCCCAGCTACTTGGGAGGCTGAGGCAGGAGAATGGCGTAAACCCGGGAGGCGGAGCTTGCAGTGAGCTGAGATCCGGCCACTGCACTCCAGCCTGGGCGACAGAGCGAGACTCCGTCTCGAAAAAAAAAAAAAAAAAATTAGAAAGCTTGATTGCCAAACACTGATTTTACTTTCATGACTCTGACAGGAGGATTATTTCTCCTTCATGAGAGGGGCTACAAATTGGAACCTCACTACAAGTGTGTTTTGTTTACACTGCAGAGTTTTTTTAATTTGTGAATTGTTTGCTACCATTAAAAAAAAATCATGTTTCGGATGCAAATCCTGATTTCAGTTTTTTTGGACAAAGTGGAAGATCTGGCTTTCCTGGGCCACATTCCAGGTGGCAGTGATGGGCCAGAATGGTTCTAACAGCTGCCTCTCCAGCTCACAGTCCCCACCCTGCTCCTCACTCATTCAGGGGCCTGACTGGTGCCAGCAGCCACAGGATTTTGCAAACTCTGCTTTAGAAATTAACAATTTTCTCATTAAAGCTTTGCACCCTCACCACTTTCCTCGTGTCCCAGGCAGTTTCAAGGAAGTGGTTTGCTAATATTAATATACATCTATGAAGTCCTATCACAGCTTTCTGTGTTAAATTCACAGGAAAGTTAAACTACTGCATAAAGGTAAATGGATATGGTAAGAATGTTCCTGTATCCTAAGTGTTGGTTTGTTCCATCACCAAAGGTAGGGACCTGGATCAGCTCATTTCTTTAGGTCTTTCCTCCTCTGTCACCCTATGTCCTTAGTTTGATACTCTGCTAGCACCACATACCAAGTGCTTTGTTGACTGAATGGCTTTCTGGGCCCTGAGGGCGTGTGGGTTTGTGAATGTGCCCGCTGCAATAGGAGGCACTCAGTAAATGTGAATTTCCTTCCTTTTTCCCTTCTCAGTATGGTGCCCAACTGAATGCTGGCGATATCTGAACACTGGAATAGGCTGGCTCATTGTATGAGCAAAGAACAGCACAGCTCTCAATCCATATTGAATTTGGGTCCTCTTATGTAAAATCTCATTTTGAAAAATGCAATCTGCTGTTGCACCTCCCAGATGGAAACTATGAGAGAGTGTGTCTGGGATGTTCCATCATCTAATTCACTTGCTCTGTGTCAGAAAAAACTGCAGAATCAATTGACATTTAGCTTCTCTGTTTAGGCACTTAAAATCTATTGTCATCAATGTCTACATTTATAGTTTCCAGGAAGACATTGTGGAGTTCTAAATCAAATGACAAAAACTTTTACTGGAAATTCTTGTGTCCGCAGGCTAAATTCAAATACACATGAATTTATAAAGGGTAATTAATAAATTCATAATGGTTTGGTTTAGCCAAAATGTTCAACTCATTATGATAACATTTTCTTACTGGAATTAAATGAGACAGAGAGAGGACTAGGACAAAGTTTTCTTACCAGGTTATTTACTCAGTTTCCCATCTCAGATAAGAAAGACTCAGCTCACTCTAATGGCTCACGGTTTGTCATGAGCCCCAGAAATATAATTTTGAAGTTTGTATGTGCAGGAGGGGACATAAAAAGTTATGTGGCATCCTTCAGAATATATTTTTTTGTCCTTCCTGGGAACAATTGGGGTGATATTCCTGTGACATTCCAGGCGTCAAATGCACCCTACTGCTGAATTGTTTGCATTTGGCTGAGGAGAGAAACAGATCAGCTTTATTTTTGAAAAGTTCTCCAGGGTCTTTCATATCCAGGCAGAAGAGACCTCATCTTGATTTTAAGAACTCATCCAAAAGGTATGCATGCCTGTGGCTGCACGATCATTTATAATGACAGTATAAATCATCTATCATGGTTATAGTAGTTTTCTGAATTTATAGGTGCTCTATCTTCAGAGTTGCTTCTAATCTTCCTGTTCATTGTTTTTTGTTGTTGTTGTTCTTGTTTTTCAGTATAATAAAGTATACAAGAACCTAAAGGAGTTTTCTCAAAATGGAGAGAATTTCTGCAAACAGGTCACATCTGTTCTTCAGCAAAGGTACAAAATGCACGTTTGCAATAAATGGTTCTTCCTCTTTAGTTGCAGCAAGTGATATGACTGGAGGAGTGATTACAAGCTGTCCTACTTTCCAGAATGTGGTGTTATATTTTGGTACTCGAGAGATTGCTTGAAGAATGATTCTCCCCTATTGCACATTTATCAACTGGATGCCATAAAGATCAAGAAACAACAGGAAGTAATTCTGCTTAGGAAGGCTCAGTCAAGTCTCTTCTGATTCCTCAGACTGGGTTTATTACCCTCTCCTGGGGCCCACTGTTGGATCTGATGCATACTCTCATTATTGCACTTTTCATACCAACAGCAATTATTAGTTTACATTCTTCTTTCCTCTAGAAAGGCAGGGGCTGTCTTACTCATCATTGTATGCTGACCTCTTAGAGCCTGGCCTTTTGATTTCCTTAGTCACTGTCAGGTGGATGAAGGAAAAGTCACCATTTTCAGCATTGGCTTCTTAATACTAGGTGTGATCATGTGTAAAACTGTTCACTGTGCTGAAATGAGGACATTTAACTCAGTCAAGAAAGTTACAAAAGCCCTGCTTAAAATGAGAAAACCCAAGGACTGAATTTGGTCATAAGGGACTTTTTAGGCCTTTTCCCTACTGCTAGATAGCTCTGTAATAAGCAAGTCTAAAGAGACCTTCAGAAGAGACTGTTTAAACTATTTCACATTTTAAATATTGAATGTGTGCCATAAGACCAAAGACGCCATGGACTGATTGCATCCTGAATTAGTAGGTTGTAGGGGACAAAACATAATTTCTTTTCTCTCCCTTTTCAAGCTCTTAGTTGAGATACTCTTCTGAAAACAAGTTAGATTAACAAAAAACAAGCAGAAATTTATGAACACATGCTATACCCATCACATGGGAGAGGCCTCAGTTCAAAAGCATTTCTCTCTCAAGGCAGTGGCTTAGGGGTCATGCTTAAATAGTATCTCACCAAAGAGCCAGAAATCCTAATAGGGACAAGACAAAGAAGATAGCATCTTCGGGCTTCCAACAGGCAGGAAAATGTGGGAAGGTAAATATATGGGAAGATTAAAGTCTGCTCCTAGATCCTCTGGCACCACTATCT